TTCACACACACACACTGTGAACATACACCCGGAGCAGTGGGCAGCCATATTGCTGTGGCACCCGGGGAACAGTTGGGGGTTCAATGCCTTGCTCAATGGTCTCACCTCAGTCGTGGTATTGAGGGTGGAGTGCTGGTCATTCACTGCCCCCACGACAATTCCTACCAGAATTGACACTCAAACTCACAACCTTCAAGTTACAAGTCCGACTCTCTAACCATTAGGCCACGACTGCCCAATATATACGTTATGAAATCAGTAGGGTTAGGTAATGGGCCTTATGTAAGCTATTATATTGAACAGATGTGTGCATACGTGACTACTTGTGTAAGCTCGTACAATAGCATACATGGCACAAGAACATACGTGGTAAAGTCTGGACATGTTGAAAATGTTGGGTTAGTATTTCATGTCCTTCTTATCAGGTGGCTTGATGTTTTTCCAGTAACTTGTGAGCGCATGATTGGTGAAGACCAGAGGCACATGGGGGGATACAGTTATCTTAGAAATCGTATACTTTAGGGTATTAAATCATTAAGGTGATGAGTGTGTGGGGGTAGTGGCAGCTAAAGTGGTGGAACAGAAGGCGTGTAAAGATCCTAGTGTTAGAAGCTGTTTTTCAGCCTGCTGGTTACGGATGGAATGCTGCGGTGTCATCTGCTTGATAGCAGTCTGGTAAACATTCTTTGAGGTTATTCAGTGATGATCTTACAAGACTTTTTCAGACATTGCATGTGAAAGTTATCTTGTATGGCTTCAAGTTTATTGCCAATATTGAGTTGGGGTTGCAGCTGCCAAACCAGACAGTCACACGCCTAGTCATGATGTTGTCAATAGTGCAGCTTCATAAGTTGGCCAAAAGACATAAAGAGAGGGAGAGACCGAATTTCTTGTGTCTTTACTGATGAGCAGATTTGACCACTGTCTACAGTAGAGCTTACTAGAGTGAAGAGAGAGTGTTTTAGCTTTACCCAGATATCACAGCAGAATAAAGAAACCACCAAGTGCAAGAAAAAAAAAAGAAAGAAAAAGAAAAAATGCGTGTTATTGATAGTGTTTCAAGTAAGTCAGCAAAACAATTTTGCAATTGCAACAGTCTTTTGCATGGAAAGAAAAAAAAAACATAATCTGCATCCCAAATGACGCACTATATGTACTCATACACTATGTACTTATATGTACTCAACCATGTAGTTTATAAATTATATAAGGTTATTTTGTCATTCATAATCGGAGCCTGATAGCCGCTCCCCCTTCGCTACGTAATTAAAGCTGCGGCAGTTGAGTGCATGAAGTGTTCAACATTACACACTTATTTTTTTCGGATATTTAAATGTGTAATGACTTAACCGAGCAGACACACAATTATTTGTTATATTTAACGAATAATCTTTAAAACCCACTCTGTGAGTGCCGTGGACCATCCCCTAAAAGTGCAACTATCATTCCAAGAGGGCTCAGTTACCAGCGCTACCCTCTGATAAGACTGTTTTATTGCTCAAAATGTGGAAAGATGCTCTGTGCAATGGAACAGACCCTTTGAAAGACAGACCTATAGAACGGACCTTTCGACCATATAAATACATAGACAAAGCTTTCTCTGAATTAACACACATAGTTCAGGACATTGTGTCTACTATTCACTTGAGACATGTACAATCATGTATCCTATGTAATCATATGTTCTTTTATAGTGTTTTGCCTATATATTAAACCTTGAATTAATGTTTTATTATTACTTAATTAACCAAGATCGCACATATGCCGTGCTTGGTATCAATGAGCTCCAAAGTACGTTTCCTATTTGTTAATTTACATTACATTTCGCATGACACGTTAGTATTATAAGAATCTTGAACATCCAATCCAGTTTCATATGCAAAACACCATGCTAGAGACAAAAGATCATAACATTTCCCTCCAAAGATACCATTCCTCATTGGTTCACTCAAATCCTGAGGATGTGACATCCTCATATTTTAAAGATCACTGGACGGTTCTTTAGATTCTGAGAAGATGAGGATGCTGAGCTAGAAGTCTTCCAAAGACCCATAAGTTTGTGCCAGGCTTGCGGCCTTGTCTTTCCATTCACCAAAGATCCTCAGATCCTTCAGCTGGTTCTCTCTCATCAAGACAACATCAGCCAAGATCAACTGGAGCCTCAATAAACTGCATCAGGACACTTTCATTCAAATGTAAGTATCAAACTTATTCTCATCGTTTGATCCATTAAGTATCCCCACCCCTTTTTAAAGAAGCATGTGTTACAACTAAGAAACTGATGGTTTGCTCAAGGCTGTTGATCTGCTGAATCTCAAACAATACTATAACGTCTTGCATTCCTGTACTCTGCTTAAGCTCTCTTTCCATTGCTAAACTGTATGCATGTACGTGTGTGTGTTAGAATAGTTTAAGTGTTAGTTAATAAAGTCTCGTCAAGGTTGTATGTTGTTTTGCTCATAACTGGAGTGCCTAATCATTCAGATTTGGCTACATGCTCTGAGTAGTATTGTACAAAAAGGACAATATTTCCCATACCCCGGAAATAAACTTTTCTTAGAATTAATAAACAATTAACACCGGGTGTTTGCTGGGAGAACAGGTTTGTTGATTGTAATATTAATTCCATTAGCTAATCCAAATATTTTTTTATTTAAAAAAAAATAATTATAACAAGCTAATTTGCTACAAGTGCATCATCCTGTGTCTCAGTGGTAGAGCATTGCGTTAGCAGCGCAAAAGGTTGTGGGTTTGATTCCCAGGGAATACACATACCGGTAAATGTATAGCCTGAATGCACTGTAAGTTGCTTTGGATAAAAGTGTCTGCTAAATGCATAAATTATTATTAATTAATTATTATTAAATGATCATCCAGGTATTTAAAGTGCACTTTTTTTGGGGGAATTTTCAGTGTGACTACTCGCACTATTTATACTAAAAAACATAATAGAATAGTGCATAGGTAGGCAATTTGGGTATTTTATCACTAGGGTTGCAGTTTTTTAAATAGCAACACAACCTTCCTTAAATTCAACAAAGGCTTTTACAAGGTGAAAAAAATGTGTTATATCTTGATTGCATAGTTGTATAAAAAAAGTCACTCTTAAAAAAAGTTTGAAAACCACTGGGCAAGGGTATCGCGACTGCACTGCGCATTTTGTATGTCTCCCTTTTAGGACACACCCCTGCCTTAGTGTACAGTCCCACTACTTTAGAGTAGCACTGTGGCAGTGGAAACACAGTTTGAATTTGCCCTCGAGTCTCAGGGTCTGGCCCGGCACGGCCTAATGATAGCCCTGGCTCGCACAGGTCTGACAGTAGAAAAGTGGTGTGTTCAATAACAACACAAAATCATGTATAATCATGTTAAGCTAATCATAATTGTGTATTATTGTGACTATACTTGTTGCAACCAGCTGCAGAGTGCCACTGTTTGATCCAGGGCAAATTCTAAATGGCATTTTTGCACCCTTGAAGGGCACTTTGGGAAGGGAACATCATCTGTAGGAGCGTTACGAATGAAAGTGAACACCTGAATGTTTTCACAAAGGGGCCCTTCCACAAGTCTGCTAATGAAGGTTACATGCGATGGTCACTTCAAGGAAGTAATTTTATAGTTTATGTAATATGACCCAGGGTGGCGAGTCTTTGCGATTTAATTTAAAGCTAGATATGGAGGGAGAGCTCAAGTTAACATATAAAGAGAATAATTCAAATTTTGTTATATTTGATATATTATACACTTTTTTGTCATGCATTTAATATGAAGTTTAAATAACTTGCATAGTTAAAAATGTTTAATAGTAGATGTGTTAGGTAGATGTAGACTATCTGCAGGGTTTAAAGAAGAGACAGCAAGTTTTACAAAGTTAAGAGCGAAAAGGGAACACACATATACACAACTGCAACATATGAACAGCAATACTAAGATATTCCTGTTGTCGCTGCCTAGCTTCCTAGATTCATGGTAACATTTCAGGTGAAGATAAAGAGGAAATTACATTGTCTTTCATTCCTCCCTTCTCCGTGAATTCCAGATGGCTTCATTATGACACACAAGAGCCCTGCTCCCCCCACAGTCCCCCTCACAATCGTCACCATCACAGTCATCACAGAGAAGTTTATCCAAAAATTTGCCTTTACTATTCACATTGTCAAGTTCATAGTATCATGTTGCTCTATGATCCACAATATCCACTGTCATTTATGTAATGCCCTATGTATTATGGCATGCTATCTACACCCACATCATTTAAATCAAACAGTTGAACGTAAATTTAACTAAAGTCCCCGTCAGAGGAAAGTACACAGAGAGGTGGTTACATTTGTGAGCCGAGGCTTTCATAACCCTTGTCTTTGGGAGTGCAAATAGAAAGTACTTAGTGCAATAGAAAACAACTGTAAGAACTAATATCCACTGTGAAAAAGAAGTGTGATTAATTGTATTAAATGTGCATTTGCAGTGAAAAAACTCTATGCATATAATATTTTAACAAAATGACTACCAAGCATGCATTAATTAGAGTTTTTAACTGTACTGTGTTTTCCGAAATTAAAGTTAATATATTTTAAATATACAAAATTGTAAAATTCATGACATACAAGTTTCAATGAAAATGACATACGGTATGTTTGAATTTTTCCTATTCTTTTCAGAAGATTCAGCAGTGCACTTTAAACATTTCAAAAATAATAGAATTATGACATTTCCATAAAGATCTATTTAAGTGGTCAAAAGAGCAATTTCAGCTAATTGCATTTAATTAAAACACCAATCCTTTTTTTCCCCCAATTAGTTACAGTTAACATGCAATTAAGTTTCCAAAAATATTACAATCAGTTTGCACTTAGATATATTCTTGTATTATTTCTGTAATACAGTAAGTACTTATATAAGGAGTTATACTGAGTCAGCCACAGATAGAGAAAACCACACATGCCTTGACGTATTTTGTTTAACCTTTAATTTGTTATATTCTTTCCATAAGCGATGCCAAAAATATTTTTACAGTTTTATGTCAGGTCAAACCACAAATGTTTTTCTTCATTTGTTTATTAAGAGGATCTCCTCCATTTCTTCCTTTCATCAGTTTAAACAGCTGGAAGGACTCGAACCTTACGCTCCACTTCCTTGTAGTACTTGTCTGAGAGCCCAGCTGCCCTGCGGTCAAATGTGGAAAAGTGATTGTGTTAATAATTATAAGAATGTGACTATTGCATGACCTCTGGGAACTAAGGATGTGAGTCTGCAGTGCATGAATCAACTTTTGTGAGGCTCTGTTTCTCTTTCCCATGACCTCTATCATACATTCCTACAGTATGCATGTCATTGCGATTACATTAAAAACCTCAAATGGCAGAAATATAGAGCAAACACACTTCCCTTCCTCTTTTTGTATAGCAAGCGGATTTGTCTCGGTTTCCCCATCTGCACAGCATGTAGGGGACCACAGATTGAATTACTAAAACTAATTCCTTCACACAAAGCATGAGTTGTGGTTCAAATATTGACACATTTTGGCCATTCGAATTGTTCTCACTTGCAAGCCCATTACCAACAGCCCTGAATGCCACTTGGTGTGATATTTTGTAGCTAATGCAATGAAATTCATATATTTTTAAATATGCCGTAAGTGTTTAAACACTTCTTAGGCCACTGTGTTTTCTGTCCTGTATGCAATCGATAATTCTTTCTTTCATTCATTTTTTTATAAGTGATGTAATTTTCTGCATATTGTTTTTCTGTCTGCTTTACTGTAAGGACATACTTGAGTTCCCTCAGCTTCTTTTCTTTAATCTCGTTCAGTCGTGCTCTGCGACTGCGTGCCTCCTCTTCCAGCCGCTCTCCCTCTCGGAACAGCTCTCTGCGCTGGGTGATGGCCTGCATCTCTCTCTCCCGTACTTGCTGCCTCACAGCCTCAGCATGCCTTTGGATTTGTTGATGCCGTTGATCCTCTCTTTCTCGTTCTTTCTCAATGAGCTCCTGCTGTGCTCTGGAAAAGGAGTATACAGCATACAGTCTTCCATGTTATCTTTGTCCATTATCCCTTCTTCCAGTTAAGGTAAAATGTTCTGATTACAGAAGTAATTGTTTAATTTTAAGGTTGACTCACTGGGTTTTGTAATGCTTATTACATAGCACAATAATAATCCTTTTACATAAAAAAAACACGATTGGGTGTCTTGCTAAGCATCTAGCCGTAACATTCTAACACTGCATCATTTCACACTGTACGAGTTTGTTAAAAAGTGAGATGCATGTAAGTAAAACATTTATTGTTTACTGAAAGATCTAATGATGCAGACAAGACTTTGTTAATGGTTTTAGGAATTAGACAACTTTGCTGACTAAAAAAAAAGATTTCTGACAGGATCTGGAGACATGATCTAACATTACATAATTACATTATACATTTAATATTCGACAACTGTTACAATAGAAATATTAAACAGCCAACAGTAATATCTAGGGATACTCAACTGTTTTCAGCATACTAGGCAAAAGATTGAGAATGATTGTGTACATATTGTGAAACTGTATGCTAACTTTATGCTAAAGTTTCCTCATAGCCTTTCAGTAATTTCACTCTTTATACTCAGACCTACACTAGAACATGATAAAACGTGTAGCTTTGACAGTTGGGTTTATAGGTTGTGATTAGTACAGTTATTGAGATTATTCAAATAAAAATACAGAATATTCAGCAAATGGATCAAATGCATTATTTTACAATATATTGTATTTCTTTAACCATTTTCTTTATTAGTCTAATTCCTTATTCCTTTATTTAACTCTTTTTGACAAGAAAGCCCCAAGTGCAAATTTTGTACATTCATATTTCAATGGTTGGTCTGCACACAATTTGAAGGGATCACATAAAAATGAAAATGCTGTTTTCATTCTGTTATCATTTACATATTAATTTTTTTCATTCCAACCCCAAATGCTATATTTCATTCATTTTTTTTATGACCATGTGTTTACTGTTTTTTTACTGACACAGACAAAAATGAAATGCATGTATGTAGACGAGGTGAATCTAAATTTTCCATGCCCCTGTACCCACTAACCACCCTAGCAAGCCGAGTTTCTGGACCTCTGTGTTTCTAAAAGCCTGTGTACGGCCATGCTAATAGTATGTGATACATGTGATGGTGTTTGTACCTCAGGACCCTCTCAAACTCTGCTCTCTCTCGTCCAGCTTTAATGGACAGCAAGTGCTCCTTATGAGTGACTTGCTCCAGACGAGCAGTCTTTAGCTTCTCTTCCACATCCAGCTTTCTCAATGTCTGCTCTTTCTCTTTTCGTCTCCATTCCCTTGCAGCCGCTTCCTGGTTCCTCCGTGCCCTGATCTCATCCTGTCAGTTCAGAGAAAAACTCATTTATTTGAATGCAGAAATGAATAAATGGCACTGCCTCCAACATGGTCAGCTGCCCATGTATCAATTGCCAAGTTGAAACAAATAAGCTTTATGCTTTATTAAATTGGTACTATAAATGTATTACGCCATCATGGGTATACAAGAGGATACATCTCATTATATGCATAAGTAAAGTTTTATGAGGACTTAAGATTTTACCTGCTCAGCTTTATGGTCTCTGTCCCTTTCTTGAAGAGCTCTCAGTCGCGCCACTTCCTTCTCTTTGTCTTTCTTGATTCGTATCTGCTCAGCTTCATACCCTGCCTCTCGTTCCTAGAGTGCATAAAACACATCTGGGATTAAGGTGGCTTTTCAACTTTGATGGGAAAGCCAACTGCATCTGCTTCTGTTGTCAGGCTGAAAGTCGTTCAGTTAATTTCCAATCAAGAGCATGGGAGCATAGTTTTGACTACATGTTCAGATATGATTTAAACTTTTGTGACTACACAGCATGCGACCGCACAGCCAGATGCAGTGTATTTTAATCAGTACTATGTGTGCAAGTTAAGAATTACCAGTTCTTTTGTGTTGAATAGTTAATCTTTAAACACTCTTTCTGTGCAATGAGTGGTCCTGAATAATTATTTCTAAAATAATTTTTTTTAAATGACTACATCATTATTTTTTTAGAAAGCCTACTCTGGGTTTTCTTTCTTAAACATATTGGTGGATATTTGTTTTGTGTTGATATATTCTCATACATTCAGTATTAATTCATTTGATCATGGTGAATAAGTGGAGGGTAACTGCTCCTTTGCTACCTGTCCTCCTTGTTTCGTCCTAAATGTCTCTCTTTCTCAAATGACACCCTTCCAGTGTCAAGACTTTGTCTCTGCATGTCATTTGCCTCCGTACTTCAAGTCACTCGTGTGCGTTCCTAGTGCTTTCACTGTAATGTTATTGATAGACTGCATATCTGCGCGTACAGTATATTTGAAAAAATGCAATCACAGATTATATATTCGCTTTGGATAAAAGCTTGGACTAAATGACTAAATGACTAAATAAAAACATATATATTGATGGTAAAACAATTAATATAATTTCCATAAGAGTAGGTTTTCTCTAAAGTAGTGACATTCTGCTGTTGCAGAGTGTTCTTATATAAACTACAGCAGTGCTAGTGCATTCAATCTTTAACGAGATGAACAACCTATCAAAATATAATTTGCTCATACTGACAAAAATAATTTGATTTGAAAAATAATCTGTTGTCCCTAATAATTAAAATTATGCAGAAGAATCTGTGAACTGCATCAGTGCTTAAAGGGTTAGTTCACCCAAAAATAAAAATTCTGTCATTAATTACTCACCCTCGTGTTGTTCCAAACCCGTAAGACCTTCGTTCATCTTCGGAACACAATTTAAGATATTTTTGATAAAAACTTCTGAGGGCTCGCTGACTCTCCCATAAACAGCAAGGTAACTACCACGTTCAAGGTCCAGAAAAGTACCAGGATGATCGACAAAGTAGTCCGTGTGAGCTACGAGAATACTTTTTTGCGTAAAGAAAACAAAAATAACGACTTTATTCACTGTCGTGAACGTGCGTCCAAAGTGATGCAGTAGACGAAAATGTGGAATAAAGTCGTTATTTTTGTTTTCTTTACACAAAAAAGTATTCTCGTAGCTTCGGAACTTTACAGTTGAACCACTGATGTCACACGGACTACTTTGTCGATCATCTTGGTACTTTTCTGGACCTTGAATGTGGTAGTTACCTTGCTGTCTATGGGAGGGTCAGAGAGCCCTCAGATTTCATCAAAAATATCTTAAATTGTGTTCCGAAGATGAACGAAGGTCTTACGGGTTTGGAACAACACGAGGGTGAGTAATTAATGACAGAATTTTCATTTTTGGGTGAACTAACCCTTTAACTGCTCATTCATTCATATAATAAACAAGAACTATCAATTTATGAATCAAACTCACTAAGACATCTGAATCCGTGTATCATTCGATCATTTGTTTTTTGATTTAATATTGAAAGTAGAATAATGAGAAAACGGCTCCTTTTTCGTTTTTTTCCAAAAAACGAAAAACAAGAATTCAGCTTAAATTTTCGTTTTTCGTTCATGGGTGGAAAAATGAATAAACAGCTTGAATATTCGATTTCTACACATGGGCGGGAATTAAACGCCCCTTTCTGCTGATTGGTCAGCCAAAAACCGTGCCATC